TCACACACAAGTCCTTAGCAAAGAGAGATCATCATGATGAATCTCAAAGATGCTTAATTCTAAGTACCAACTCTGTAACATGTCAGAAAGTTTCTCCAGAAGAGAGACCTTACAGATGTGATGTATGTGGGCACAGCTTTAAACAGCATTTCTCTCTGACACAGCATCAGAGGATCCATACTGGAGAAAAGCCCTATAAATGCAGCCAGTGTGGGAAGGCCTTTAGTTTGAGGTCATATCTCATTATTCATCAGAAGATCCATAGTGGTGAAAAAGCATATGAATGTAATGAATGTGGAAAAGCCTTCAATCAGAGCTCAGCCCTCACTAGACACCGGAAAATCCATACAGGTGAGAAAGCTTGTAAATGTAATGAGTGTGGCAAAGCGTTCAGTCAGAGCTCTTACCTAATTATACATCAGAGAATTCACACTGGAGAGAAGCCCTATGAGTGTAACGAGTGCGGGAAAACCTTCAGCCAGAGCTCAAAGCTTATTAGACACCAGCGAATTCACACAGGAGAGAGACCCTACGAGTGCAGTCAATGTGGAAAAGCTTTCAAGCAGAGCTCAGAACTGATCACCCATCAGAGGATACACAGCGGAGAGAAACCCTATGAATGTAGGGAGTGTGGAAAAGCCTTCAGTCTGAACTCAAACCTCATCAGACACCAGAGAATTCACAGTGGAGAGGAACCCTATCGGTGTAATGACTGTGGCAAGACCTTCAAAAGGAGCTCAGCCCTTGTTCAGCACCAGAGAATCCATTCTGGGGATGAAGCTTATATATGTAATGAATGTGGGAAGGCTTTTAGGCACAGATCAGTGTTGATGCGCCATCAGAGAGTACACACTGTTAAGTAACTTAATACAGTGATTCATAAATAGTTTATTTTTCTCTATATTAGCCAGAACGTTGACTTTGGAGCAGGATTCCACAAAGGTAGTTTTAAAAAAACAAACGGTCTTTAGTCAGTCTAAATTGCTATGTGTAGCACTTCCTGATGCCACTGCGAATTTTCTTTAAAACTTCCTGTGATTGACCAGAGCAAGATAAAGGACCATTCCTTTGAGCTTTGCTCTTAACATTAGGAATACTCAGGAAAATAAAAAAAAAAGTAATGTAATATTGAGACCTCATTTTCTATGAGAACGTCATGGGAAAAGGCTTCATCCTGTCTGTCAGTACATCCTATTGTCTGTACCAGATAATATGAATGACATGAGAGACTGCTTAAGAAATTCAAAAGTTTTTTACTCAACAGTAGCCAGTCAACAAGAAAAGTGAGCAAACAATTTCATTGATGATTTGTTGATCCCAAGCCAGGCTCAAACTGAGCTTGAGAAGAAAAAGATGCAAATTAGTTTAGACAACCTGAGGGCCCTGTCCATTCCCCACCCATGTACTGGGTATTGAACTTAGGACCTCACATGCTAGGCAAGTGGTCAGTTCTGTTATTTTTTTATACCGGCTTTGTGCCAGTGACTAGAAATAAAATGAAAAAAGATATTTCTACAGTCTAATGGCCATTACCAGTCAGGTAATGACACTTTAGTATGGTCACTATTACAGCCTTTGGGGGTGGAGTTTGGGTTTATCTGTGTAGCCTTGGCTGTCCTGGAACTCTGTAGACCATGCTGACTGGCCTTGAACTCAGAAATCTGCCTGCCACTGCACACCAAGTGCTAGGAGTAAAGGCGTATGCCACCACTGCCCTGCACTTTCCCCATTTCCCTCTTGTGAAGAACTCTGGATAAAGGATATTGAAGTGACATGAAAAATGAGTTAACTAGGAAGGAAGATAGGCCAGGTTACAATGAAAGAGATTGTTTTGTTTATCACCAGGAACAAAATATGGAACATTACCTATTGAGTTCAAAATTGGCATCCTTTCTGTGAGACAGGATTACAGCCAGACTCTCAAGCACTGCATATGAGCCTATGAAGTTTCTATTAATAAACTCGTAAAAACCTAGAGTCCTTGGTCAGTGTGGCCTAATGGTAAGGGCTAATCAGTTTCCCAGCACAACCTGAGACAATGTTTAAACTACAGAGAGTGGGAGGAGTCCATTATATGAGAACAGCCTAGATGCAGACTCTTTGGGCTCTTAAGACAATATTGGAGTTGCTGTATTAAAATATACCATAGCAACTGTTTGTAATGCTGCCATTTCTCCACCTGAGCACAATCTGCCTTGTGCAGGTGCTCAAAAATTCTCCATTTCTGGGTCTTTGGCACATGTTTTGTCTTATGTCAGCAATATTTAGCAGTATCCTGAACATTTTAAGGGCAATGCTAGAGCAGTGAAGATGCTGATTTTGTTGGGCCTTGCCCTCTTCTGAGGAGCCCCACAGGAAGAGTATCCTAATGCTGGTGCATGGTGCAACATGGAAAGCTGATCAACTCAAAAAGCCTTGTCATCCCTGCAGTCTCAACAGTGAGACCAAAGGCATACCTGGTCAGTTTGAGCTACATTGATGGGACCATCTCAAAAACACTGGGTAGAAACAGTCAATTCAAAGACCTAATAGTTTGGAGGAATAATATACCTTAACAAAATCAAATCTATGTAGAAACAGAAAAATAATTTTTACAAGGATACAAAAGTAATGGTGTCTTGGACATTTATAGGTGAGTATGTACTAACCAATAAAAATAACAAACTAAATGCCTAATGTAGATGTTCAGTAGATAATGTTAAAAAAGGGAGATACCCTAGATCTCTTACATAGGATCAGAAGGAAATGTAATGGGTATTTGTCAAGGGTTTTGCGTATGTTAGTCATTAGTACAAATCATATTGTACACATGGGAAATGGAGGTTATCATAGCTAAAAGGTCCAGAGTTTTAACTCAGAACTACAATTTTATATGTACTTTATACAATCCATGAAAAAAGACCCACTAACATTTAAATCACAGATGTGCTAGTGAACAATACACATATTGTAGTCATGGGAGTTACAGTCATGTTGGAGAAGGAGTGAAGGTGGTATTTATTTTCCATATAAAATTAACAAGGATTTGAACATTAGGACTCTTGCTACTAATGAGCTGTGAATACATTACCTCTGGCAATCAGTACCAAAACCCTTCAGCACTGCATTGGACCTTGACACTCTACCTAGAAATATACTTAAGGAACCATGAATATGCAGCCTTACAAGCTGTTAAAACATGTGAAACATTCATGAGATATTAAATACACTATATACAACGTGAACCCATGTAAAACATTACGCATTAAAAATAACATACAATGTCAAGATGGTTACTTCTGGATGGTGAAGTTACAGGTAATGTGCTATTTTTGTATTTAAAGTTTTACTGCAAAATCTAGCACTGCTTATAGAGGGAGGGGCAAGAGACTATAGTTCAGTTGTAAAGCATAAATTTACCATGTTTAAGGTCCCAGGCTTAATTCCTAGATCCGTAGCCCTAGGCGAGCAGGTAGTGAACAAAAGCCCAAAATAGTGAAAATAAGTACTTGCCTTCTAAGACATCCCTGTCTCAAGTTTTAACTAACTTAACTCTGATCTTTCATTGTTGATGAAATCAATGCAGACATACTTTCATAATGAAAGAATCCCCTTCAAATTCTAAAATCCTGTGCAAGTTAACTTTCATGCATGATGATTTATGGCTCAGAGAAGCAAGTGGTAAGTATTTCAGAACTCCTGTCATTAGTGCTTTCCCATGAGTTCAGCAGACATAAACAAGTTAGCTCATCTGTATTCTCATGTTAGAGGAGCTGAAGATGATCTTACAGTCAATGTCAGTCTTTATGCTTTATGGACACCAACAACAGCTGAAAGGAAAACAGCCAGTACCCTTCTCTCTGCTCTGCTCTTCCTCTTGTTCCAGGAACAGCCTGTAAAGCAGTGCTTGCCTCACATGGAACTTACCTTCCTCCCCCATGCCACAGCCTGCAACTGGATCTGAGAGGACTGAGTTTCCAAGTCATTTGACAGTGACCTACTAACCTACTTCTGTTTGTGAAATTAAGTGTGCTACTTCCCTTTTTTCTACACTCCTTCCTACCCTCCAGCCTAACTCCACTCATACTGTGTTTTTACCTGAATGATTTAAAAGCAAAATTTTAAAATTTCAGTTTTATTACAATACATTCCATTGCATGCTGATACTAAGCAACTGGAGTGCATATTGAACATAAAAATATTAAAATTAGAAAATTATACTAGAGATTTTTACCAGAAATATTAGAATTACAGAAAAACAGGAAGTAGTTCAAAAGTTAATCTTGCTATGGGTAACACCATTATGGATGAGTTATACTTCTCAATGCTCTCAATTAGAAAAAGGGTTAAATGATACTTAAAACACTTGTCATCTATAAGAAAGGCAATTCACGGTTCATTTGAATTATCTCTAAGTCAGATCTTACATAACTGCACATCCTTTGGAAGTGAGAACCATATCCATTTTTATCTCCTCTACTCACAATAGCTATTACCAAGTCTTCAAAAATGGTGCATTTTCCTAAGTAAAAATTACCATCAGCAATCACGGGTTAATTAAAACTGCCAAATTAAAGTTTTGAAGAGTCTGAGAGATTGACTCAATATGTATTTCCCTCAAGTGGCTTATCATCTGCAAGCCTAATGCTGAGACGGACTCCAGACTCCAGTGTCCCTCAGCTTCCAGTGTATGCTGTTTCCTTGATGTACATTAGAAACACTAGTTACGCTAACTGAATACTTCCAGATCATAAAAGTCTCGTGATCTGAAACAGGTTATCCAACTCAGGCTATTACAAACAGCAAAAGAAACCAACCTGGCTTCTGAACTGGAATCAGAAAATTCCAGCAGGAATCGAAGAAACAGGAATGTCTCCAGATCCTCTCTTCTCATCATTCCATGTATGTATTATATAAACTCTGCCTCTGTTCTTCTGCCATTAGCCTGGCTAACTTCTGTATTTTAGGTCTCAAATGAGATAGCACTCCCAAGGAAATATTTAGTTAATTTGTAAATCAGGTAAAGCATCTCTGGATATCTTCCAACAGAACCCTACATTTATCTGGCAGTTATTGACACACTCTTACCAGAATTACTTGATTAATAAATTTGTATATTCCATTAGCCCTAAATTTTGAGGGGGCCGTGATCAAGTTTGTTCTCCCAATGGTTAGGCCCAGGAGGTACCAATAAGGAAGTAGACTACATCAGGAAGCTCAGGGTTGAAAGAACTGGCAATGGGGCAAACAGCTTCCATTCCTCAGATATTAAACTGACCCAGGACATGACATTTCATAGCCTCAATCCAACATTTCAGACTTCAGTAACTTAAAAAATGCACTCCTGCCAGACACTGCACTGTCCACTTTGGCTGGACAGTGACCTTTGCATTTAGAAGGAGATCGTGCAGGATCCATGGTCATGGACTCACATGTAGGTACTCAATGACAGTTCTATCTGTGGTGGGGAATGGATGAAGAACATACTGGTGAGAGTCCTCATTCAGAGTGGGTCCATCTTTTTAAAAGTCTCTGTAGACAAGATCTAGATAAAACTCTTCCAATATGTAAGCTGTTTGTGTGGGTCTCTTAAGAGAACTGAACTAGGCTGGAAAGAAAAAGTCTTACTGTCTGGAAACTTGTAATTTTTGTGGAATCTCCCCTTCAAAGTGAATTCCTTGGATTTCACAATTACATAACTCTTACCCACAGAGCTGAACTCTGGTGTGTGCTCTCTGATGCTGCATAAGGCCTGACCTATGCCTAAATATTTTCCTACATTCATAGCATTCATAAGGTTTTTCCCCAGAGTGGGTTCTCTGGTGCTGGGTGAGGGCTGAGCTTTGATTAAAGGACTTTTCACATTCATTACATTCATAAGGTTTCTCACCAGTATGGATTCTTTCGTGTTCCCTAAGAACAGAACTTCTCCTAAAAGCCTTACCACATTCAGTACACGCATAGCCTTTGTCTCCACTGTGAATCTTCTTATGCTGAATAAGAGTGGAGCTCTGGCTGAAGGCTTTCCCACACTCTTCACAACCGTAAGGTTTCTCTCCAGTATGAATTCTCCTGTGCCTAATGAGCCCTGAGCTGCCCCTGAAAGCTTTCCCACAGTCACAACATTCATAGGGTTTTTCACCACTGTGAATTCTCTGATGTCTAACAAGATCTGCTCTGAAACCAAAGGCTTTTCCACATTCTTTACATGCATAAGGTCTCTCTCCAGTATGACTTCTTTGATGTCTAATCAGCTTTGACCTATGGCAAAAAGCTTTCCCACAATCCAAACACTCATAGAGCAGTTTCCCTGTGTGAGTTCTGGACTGTGCAGTACCATGTAAGTTTAGACTGAGAATTCCTTCACCTTCATTACACTTGAAGGTATTCTGTTCTGTGGGGGGTTTCTTGTTAAAGCTTGCCAGACTGAAATAGCTTTCCTGGGAAGAAAGTGGACTTGTTTTGTTGCTTGCATCATCACTTCCTCTTTGCTTATTGTTGTCCAGATATCCCATAGTTTCTTCAACTATCTGTACTGGAGAAGATTCCCTAGGAAGTCTTCCTGGAGATGCCATGGCCACTGATGTAACACATTCAATAATTTCTTGCTTTGCTGTTAGTACTTTGTCAGTCACCATCTTGCTATCTAAAAATGTGAATAGGGTGTGTTATTCTTTTATTTAAAAACGCTATAGGAGGAACAATAAATAAAACAAAGGAGAAGGGTAAGTGCTGGTTCTCAAGAGATGGCGTGGTGATTTTTTTTCTTCAAAACAGGGTTTCTCTGTGTAACAGTCCTAGCTGTCCTAGAACTAACTCTGTAGACCAGGCTGGCCTTGAACTCACAAAAACCTGGCTGGTTTGGTGATTTAAGAGGGCATACTCTTGCAGAGGACCCTGGTTCAGTTCCCAGCACCCACCTAGTGGCTCATAACCATCTCTAACTCCAGTTCCAGGAGATACAACACCCTCTTCTGGCCTCTGTGGGGACCAGGCATGCAGGTAGTGCATATGCAAACATGCAGGCAAACACTCATACGTTTAAAAAAAATACCAGGGCTGGACATACAGCTCAGTGACTTTAGAGTGCTTGCAAACACAAGGCCCTGGGTTTAATCTCCAGGACTGGGGAAAGGGATACGGGTGAGAAAATGAGAATTCCCTAAACGAGTAAAATGGACAAAGAATATAAGTAAGTATTGGAGACATTGACAATTGAACAAGAAAACAATACTTAGAGGTGACAAACAGTAATACCAGTCATAAACCAGAAAGGGAAGAGATGATTCTAGGTTAGATAACATGAAAAAGGAGAAGAGGTTATACAGAATCAGGAATAAGATGACTTAAGAGTTATAGATCTAACAAAGTAGGAGAGCATGTGATACTATAAAATGTTTGGGGGATAGATAAGTATTGGACACAGGGAGGTGGGCAGGGAATAGAAGGCAAGATAGCATTTGCAAATTCTGGCAGGTTCCTAATTGGGCAAATCAATATAAACAATAGAAAAAGACAAAGCATTTAGGAAGAAATACAGTTATAGTGACACTTATTCAAAGTGGTGCTTAATGGAAAAAGGCTAGGTGGTGGCACACACCTTAAATCCCAGTACTCAGGAGACAAAGACAAATAGATCTTTAAGTTTTAGGCCAGCCTCATTTACATACTGAGTTCCAGGCCAGCCAGGGTTATATACTGAGACCCTATCTCAAAAAAAAAACATAAATAAAATGCTCAACAAAGCACTAGTATATAATCAAGGCATAAAAATAGTGCACTTGTTGGGCTTAGTGGTGCATGCCTTTAGTCCCAGTATTCAAGAAGCAGAGATGGGTGGATTTCTGTGAGTTTCAGGCCATTCTGGTTGGTTGGCACAGTGTATTCCAAGACAGCCAGAGCTACTTAGTGAGACCCTGTCTTGAAAACAAAACAATAAAAATAAGTATTATATTAAGTGAAATGATGGGACCAGAGAAAGTTTGCATAAATCAGAAAAACAATTTTTTCCCTGTTCCCAAAAAGACAGCAGGCATAATGGATAAGGAACACAGTAACCTCATGTCCAAAAAGTACAGTCATACCCTAAGGTACTAAGTAAGAGCTAGAGCTTCAACCAATGATACATTAAAGGAAATCAGAATCTGTCAAGACCTTAATAAAACTAAGTAAAGGGCCAAGTGTGGCATACACCTTTTAATTCCAACACTCAGGAGGCAGAGGCACAGGCCTTGTCTACAGGTTGAGTATCAGGTTCAGGACAGTCAAGGCTATGTAGCAATACTCTCAAAAAACCAAGACAGCGATAGAAAGGGCGGTGGGAGAGGGGTAGATATATCTGTCCTAAAAGATTTAGACATTCTTAGGGTTTGCATGCTGTTTGTTCTCTAAGGCTTCTCTGTTGGGAGTTTGGTCCCCAGTATAGTGATGTAGCAACTGATGGAGCCTTTAAGAGGGCAGGCCTACTAGGATATCCCAATCAACTGTAATGCTCTCAAAAAGGATTAAGATGTTTCCTATGGAAACTGAGAACTGGTTAGTTCTTGCAAGGACTGTTCTAAAAACCTGAACCTAACCTTGAGTTGGTGTCTCTGCTGTCGCTTTTATGTGATCACACATTTGTCTGTACTCTCATAACCAATGTCATGATATGATGTTACAGAAAGGACCCTAACCAGAAATGAGCCAATGAAGGTAACACAGACCTAAATCTCCAAATGTATGAACAAATAAACCATTTTTCTTTATAATGTTAACTGCTTCAGGTATCTCATTATACTGATTAAAAACTAATACAGATGCCAGGCTATGGTGGTACACATCTTTAATCCCAGCACTTGGGAGGCAGAGGCAGGTGAATCTGAGTTTGAGGCCTGCCTGTTCTATAGAGTGAGTTACAGGACAGCCAAGGCTACACAGAGAAACCATATCTCAAATAAATAAATAAATAAAATCTTTATCAAACAACAACAAGAAACTAACACAGACAATTAGGTATTATTGGCTATTAGTACATAGTTCTCTGTAAGGCAATATGATAAGATCATTTTTTAAAATGCATTTGAATGTGTAAGGTTGAGTGGGTGTTTCTAAATTAACCTCAGTAGATAACTTATGTGATTACTTTGGTGACCTGCCAAGGACTAAGGTCAGGCCTTCAGGCTTCTGTCCTCCTATATCTAATTCTATCAACATACAACAGATTGACCTCTTAGGGCGGGCTCATACTAGCCAACCTCTTGTAACTATATAGTACAACTATAATAAGAATAATGTAAATTACATAGATTTGACTGAATAAGACATTCTCTTAATAATTAAGCTTCGTGGGACTGTAACAAGATTGCTTGGTGAAAATGAAATCAGAAGCAGATGTGACAGGCGTTAGCCACTGGGATGGCTGATGTCTATAGAGATGTTGTCAATAACTTAAAAGTCCTTTCGGCTCTAATCCTTGGCATCTGTGATACTTTGATTTATTGCCTCCTCATTTCAAATCTATCATTGTCCTATCCATAATACTGGCATATGCTAGCATGTGTGTTTTATCAGTTGAGTGAGTTAGAAGGACAGTGAGGAAGATCTTTCTCTTTATTCCTACAGCATTTAGGACACCAAACAACGAACACTAGAATAAATTTTAAAGAAGCTGTCCACCTTGGCAGCTTCCCAGCAAATTTTATACTAAGTCAAATTTCCTGGCAGGCTTTTAGTACCCTAAAGGTGGCTCTGCTGGATCTAGCCTGCTGAGCATTTCAGAGCACGTGTCTTCCTCTGTCTGTGACTGTACCTCTCTAACAAGATCAGACGTCAGCCCTAGCAGGAGCAGATGACACATGGCGCCTCTCGCATATGTGTTCTGAGGTCTTCCCACCTTAGCCCTGTACGTTCTAGAGTGTGACTTTTAGTGAGACTACATAGTGATCAATGCTCTGCTACTTTTCTTCTTGAGACCATCTTGTTGTGTAGTCCAGGCTGGCCTGGGTCATGCAGCCCTCCTACCTCTCAGCCTTTCAAGTTGGTACTGGTATTATAGGTGTATGCCACAACATCTGGCTTGCAGCTGACAATTTTTAACATTACATTTTCCCTTTCCCTTATTAGAAACTTCCTTATAAGTGTGACAAAAATACTTTTGAAAACAGCATTAGTCTTGGAATATGGCATCAGAAAATCTTATGAAAGACTTTAATTATTAATCCAAGTTTTAAAAATTATATTGAAATTTCAGATTCTAGGCTGAGCCAATAGAAGAATATTTCAAAGTCAGCATGATTTTCCACAATACTTAGTGACAGTACAGATGACAGTCATTAAGAAAGTCTTGGCACATTTGATAGTGCTCACCTTCATCCTCAACCCTAAATGGTAGGGTTGCCCCATCTCTCTCATGGAAAACCTGAGGCTCCTGGGGTTCACTCCTGCAATGGTCCTCCAAGGACGGCAGTGGGCTACTCAGAGGTTTCTGTGTTCCCACGGGTGTCATTTCTTGGCCAAGAGCTGTGTCCTAGAATAACAAATACCAGCACTGTGACTCATGATATACAGGAGAATCACCAACAGCGATGGACAAGGCAGAAGAGCCAGAAAACTCTTCAGATGACTAGGAAAACAACACCACCACCACAGACCCCATGACTTGAACTAATGGATGAATAATTTATTCACCGAGAGGCAGAAACTGGCTAAGTTCCCGAGAGCAGAGTCAGTGCTACTAATAATGGCTTCTCTAATAACCACAATAGATCAAAACCAACAACAACAACAACAAAAACCCTTACCTCTTACCTGCTGTTTAGGTTCATCAAATTCTCTCTCCAGCTCCTCCAGCAGAGTAACAGCCTCCTCTCCGTTTCCAGGTCTGCGCTCCTGCACCCAGGCCTGCAGCTCCATAGGCAGGATGGCCACAAACTGCTCCAGCACCAACAGCTCCAGGATCTGCTCCTTGGAGCGCTCCTCTGGCCTCAGCCACTGCTGACAAAGCTTCTGCAGTTGGTTCAGAGCCTCCCGAGGCCCAGTGAAGTCAGAGTAGCCAAACTGTCTAAACTGCTGGCGGAAAACCTCCTGGCTCTGGAGGTTTCCCTGAAGACTGAAGTCCTGCCTCCAAACATTTTCTTCTTCAACTTTCACAAAGCTGAGTCCATTTTGTCCTTTTGGAGCAGGACAGGCCAAGGCTGTGGCCTCTCTGAACATCCTGAAAAGACTACCTAGCTGAGGCAGAGAGGAGGTGGACAGTGTTCACGTTACACAGAGAAAGCATGTGCTCAGAATGTAACTACATGTTTGTGGAGGACAGCCACTTGGTATACACCACTGAGGGCAGGGGGAAGAGATTGGCCTGCAGAGCTAAGGAATGCAACTCTCTGGTTACTGTGCCTGTGTAGAAAACGGGCTAAAAGGGTACGGTACTTCCATACGAATGATAACCTTTAGATTATTCAAGATTGTTTTCAGAACATGAGACAAAATTTTAGTATAGCTACAATCAAGTGACCTTCAGTAATAACATTAAGGACAATCATGATTTGTCCGTTCTCCGAATGAGGCTTCCGAGGACCATAAGATGACCCAGGCACACAGCTAATGAACAGCAGAGCTGGACTTTGCATGCAAAGTATTTAGCCCTGTCACAGTCTCCCAAAAGACAGGAACTCAAATGTAGCACTGGTCATGGGCCAGGCAGCTTACAAGAGCTATTTTATTGGATTTCAACAATACCACTGTGCAGTAAATACCATCCCATGTTTTACAGATGAAGTCAAATATCTTGAATTTGCCTGACGTTCAATCACTAGCTGTTTTTATTCCGGAATGGATTGCCCAAACCTGTCTTGGTTGTTCTTGCAAATTAGTAATGACGGCAAAAATGTTTGGATGGGGTCACAGGAATGCACAAAGAAGGGAAGATTGTTCCTCATTGAAAGTCACAGAAAATTCCCTTCATTATTTTACAAATACTTAAAAATCTACTGTGTGCTATGCAGACTGCTAAACAAGTCTCACATTAAAGTTTTCTTCCAATGGCCTCCTAGTTCAGTGTGAAGTAACAACAGGTAAACAGCATAATAAATCAGAGGAGAGTAAACACAAGGAAAAGACCAACGACTAAGACCAGAGAGAGGGGCCAGAAGAAGCAGGGAGAGCAGCCTGCAAGATAAATCTCAGACAATGTGATCTGAGTGACACAAACGGTGTGAAAGGACATGGCCTCTCAGAAGCTGACGGTGGTTTAGGGCTAGCAGACCAATGGCTGTCACCTCCAGGTATAGCTCAATTAGCCACGGAAGATGAATCCTATGACAGATCCAGTCAAAATCTCCAGGAATATGGCTTTATTAAATGTCCCAGGTATTTCTATGCACCCACATTTAAAAGTCTATGCCAGACCCTGGAACACTAATGGATACTAAGAGAAAACATACCTATAGCAGAACAGCCAAACCACCCATGGTCTGAGCCAAAGCCATAGCATGGCTGGAAGGTCTGTCTCCCAGGCAGAGTGGTATGCAGAAGAGGTGGGTCCACAGTCATTCAGGTGAGAGACTGTAATGGCTTGAGGAATAGGATCCAAGATACAGAAACTGAACAAGACTTAGAGACCTACTTGATAAAGGTTTGGAAGATAGAGGGGTCAAGACCAGGTATAGTGTCTCAAGCCTGTAATCCCACCATTTACTAGCCTGAGGCAAGAAGACTGAATCCCAGGTAGCTCAGGCTACATAGTGAGTTCTAACCTACTGAGACTCTAAAGGCAGAATTCAGGTTTCTGGGCACTTCTAGTGGCTGGAAGATGATTGTGCCATATATTGAACTATTCAGTAAGAAAATTAGGTCTGAGATACCTTCAAAGCAACATTTCCTCTGTGCTGTGACAGATATTAACAGATGCTTCAGAAATAGCCAGGGACAAACAACATGCACACATACACATAAACCCAGGGATAAATAACATGTACATGCATACCATATAAATAAATATATACATATATACAGTGTAAGTGTATATATATATGTGTGTATATATACACATACACACAAATATAAATACACATATATTTTTATATATTTTAGAGACAGGGTTTTACCATGTAGCTAGGGCTATTCTCAAAACCCACAATCCTCCTTACCTCTGCCTCTTAAACACCTCCCAAACTCTTAAATTTTAGTATGAGAGAAATAATAACTACCTCTTTTCTTACTAAGTCAATCAGGATTTAAGAAATTTCAGGGCTACATAGTGATACCTTATCTCAAAGAGGGTGGAAAGACAAGATGGCACAGAAGACACTTGCCACCAAATCTGATGACCCAAGTTTGATACCTGGAACACAAAGAGTAAGAAAAGAACCCCTGAATGTTTTCCTCTGATCTATACACACACCCCAGATAAATTCAAATGTAAGCAGAAATGCTATGTGCCATGCTGTCAGATCTGTTTATACCGGGGCTGCACACTGATGCATGCTCTTCACTTGGTGATCGTGAGTCTGTTACTAGTCTCTAGCCTTTTGTTCAAGTGTTTGGGATATTACTCAGTTTTTGAAATGCCATGATTTATTTTTAATTATATATATGGGTGTGTATGTATGGGTTTGTGCTCATGTGTGCAGTGCGCCCACAGAGGCTAGAAAAGGATATTTGATTTCCTGGAGCTAGAGTTACAGAAAGTTGTCCACCAGCCAACATACATGCTAGAAAACTGAACTCAAGTCTTCTGCAAGAGCAATATAAGCCCTGAGCCACCTCGTCAGCCCTCACACAATTACACTGTAAGTCCTGTGCCTGAACACCTTGTCCTTCAGGTGCATGTGGCTGAGGGGCGTTTATAATCATAAAGAATATGTTATGATTATCCTCCAGTTCCTTTCCAGTGTTCCCCATAAAATTAGCCCTAGCATTTCCCTTTTCTGTCTCTCTTCACGTCCCCTGTCCCCCAAGATTCCATACCCTCACTTTCTGTTAATATCCATCAGTTAGTCTACAACTTCTACCTGATCTCCGAGACCTAGTTGCCTACAGTCGCTCATTCTCATCATGAATTTTCCTGAAACTCTCGAAAGGACTTTAGATGCAGCATAAGTCATAGTATTATACTTCATAAAGTCACGGGGTAACCGCCAAGCTGATTGTTGCCAGCTTAAACCAGGATTCAGGTCAGGCGGTGGTGGTGCACGCCTTTAAACGCAGTACTCAGGAGGCAGAGGCAGGTAGATCTCTGTGAGTTTGAGGCCAGCCTGGTCTACAGAGAGAGTTCAAGGACAGCCAGGGCTATGCAGAGAAACCCTGTCTTGGGGGAAAAGCAAAACAAAATAACAGAAAACTCTGTGTTCAGGAGGCAGGAATATCCACCTGGCTGTGCGGCCAGTAGCTGACACCTCAGCAGTCCTCTCGAACTCTTTCCTGCTGTTTTTACTTCCTACTTCTGGAGTCTGCCCTTCCAAATCTAGTCATCACCCCAATGCTATTCCATGTGTGAAACCACACAACGTAACCACCTGCTGGTCCCAGACTCACTCAGTCCCCACCAGCCTGTTATCCACACTGTAACCAGAATGGTCTTTGCAAATTGAAAATATTATATTCCTCTGGCCAACTTTTGTTCACAGCAGTGTTTACTGATCAGGGTCAGCTGTCAGTTTTGACTTTTGATACCTAATGTGATATCAAGACTGTTCTTGGGAGGCAGGAGAAATGGCTCAGCAGTTAAGAGCACTAACTGTTCCCCCAAAGGAGCTGGGATCAAGTCCAGCACCTACAGGGCAGCTGAGAGCATTCTGTAAATTCAGTTCCAGAGGATTCAATGTCCACTTCTGGCTTCCAAGGGCTCTGCAAACACTTAGTACACAGAACATGTAAATAAATGAAAAATAAAAGAATCTAAAAGACAAAATAAAACAAACAAACAAAAAGACCACTATGGGCCAGACTGGTTTTCACGATGTATCACTCACCAGCTAGCAATCAGTTCTGGTTGGCAGCTAGATATACTACTACTAAGACTAGATATATTTCTAGTAAGGATGCTACATATGTTCCCTGCCCTGGGACAGTTTTTAATGTCCTCACGTCACTCACTGGGGATGGGAATGGGGTGACTTCTAGCTCAGTCAGATGCACCTAAATCAGATCCCAGTAAGTACATCTGTGACACCATCTACAAAGGATCCTGAGATGTCAGTGCTGAGAACTCTGATTCAGTCAAGGAGTTGTAAGAGACAAGGTTCAAGGGAACTACATTTCCCTCAAACTACTTCACTTTTTGGAAAAAAAAAACCCACTTTATTGGGGTGGGGAGGGTTTGCTGGAGATGGTTCAGTGGTTAAGCACACTTACTGCTCTTACAGAGAACCCAGGTTCAGTTCCCAGTACCCACACAGGGGCTCAAAACCACCTTAACTCCAGTTCCAGGGACTCCCCTGCACATGGTGTACATAAATGCACACAGATACACATAATACAAATACTTTAATGGGACTACTGGTCTTGTCTATGACTCTACAACAATCTATATTGTTCTGGCTCACCATTGTGAGCCAAAAATCACTCAACCCAAAAATAAATGAAACTATACACCACAAATACATATATAACTGAACCTACATATGTGTGTGTGCACGCGCATGTCCATATGTGTATGCGCTCACGTGAATGTCACCATGATCAAAAAAGAATTTCAAAGAAGCACTGGTCAACACTGTCAGGTACCTAATACAAACTGGGAAACATTTCCAGAGCACTTGGCAGATTGCAGGTAAGTGATTTAGCTCACAAAAGCACCAATGTTGGAGTCAGACAATCATACTCTGTCTAGTAATCATGGTGAGATTTTACTCAGCAGCTGACCTTTTCTGAGATTCCATTCCCTCTCCTGGAAAGAGCAAGGTGCAATAGGAGCTCGGGCTGCTGGTATGTTAAACACACTTTCACACAAATAGTCCTCCTCCCAGTTCTCACAGCAGGAAGCAACTCGGTGTGAGCATCCTTTCTCTGGGAACCAACAGACCCAGAATCCCCTCATCCCAAGGTCTCAGGAAGGCTCTCCCCCTCAGGACCACTCTCCTATCCTAACCACTTCAAGGTCAGCAGCAAACAAGCGTGAAAATCTCCACCTCCCAGGGTGCGCTGAAGTGACTCAAACAAGCAAACACAAAATGTGCTTCTGCTGCTCTGCCACTGCCATGGTAAGTCAAGATTCTTACCATTTCCCCTTGCTTTTCCTGCCTCCTGACTGGGAGCTTTCGTGTCAAGGCAGGGCCCATCTCCTGAGGACTGTAGGAACAAATCTAGCCTTTCCAACTCAATCACCTCCTGGTCTCTGTCTCACCACACTTGAACAACAATAAAACCACATTTTAAAGCTGGCCCAGTAAGATACTCAAGGCAAGAGGCAGATCCCATTCCACAAGGAGTGAGTTACAAAATAGGCCTCACTGGGAAATTTACCAAAAGGGCATCAATAAAATCAAGCCCATGTTCTTGATTCTCCCATCCTCTCTCAGAGGGCAAGTCTAGAGAGGCACTGCAGTGTTTCAGGGCCACACCCCCACTTCTTAGCATACTATACTATGGGGAAGCAAGCTTGTCCATGAGGATATAAAGTAACCATTCTGATCAGAAAACCTGATTCAGGTGTCACCCAGGAAATGGTGAAGGGGGTGGGAGGCACTGAGCTTGGGTCCAAGCCCTGCCTGGAAGGCAAATCCAGGCCCCCAACTAGCCATCAGTCTAACCAAGAGGAAACCCCCAGGACCCTTCTGGACAATCCTCTCCTGGCAGGGAAGGCTGTAACCAACTATTAAAGCATCTGTCCTGAAAGTAACGTGTTAGAATGTTCCTGCTTGATCATTTAATACTTAACAACACAGTGGGCCTTTGTAGTAGATCCCAGCTTTATCAGCCCATTTTAAATGTCTCAACACGCTTTGTCTTCACAGCATGCTATGGTGTAAGTTCAACTGTGCTAAGAGAAACAGTATATCCAAGCTGTCCCACCTATGGGGCTTGGGAGGTAATCCGGACGGCTGTTTCATTGAGTTTGCTTTTGTTGAGTTTGGTTTTTGTTGTTGTTGTTTTGTTTTTTACTTTGAGCTGGCCTTTAACAATGTGGTCCCCCTGCCTCCACCATCTGAGAGCTGGGACTATAGGCCTGACTCTGGAGTCCACACTCTTGATGCTGCCTCTGCTGAATGCTGCTCACATCAGCGTTACTAAGTCAGGGTGCTCACCAGAGAGCCTGGTTTTCACAAACTTGTTAATATTTATTGTGTGCAGACACTCTATTAGGGGCTGGACGGTCATGAGGACATTACCCCGCCTTACAGAACTCAACAGCGGGGTAAGAGGGGGCGGTATGTGTTAAACAGAAGTACACTTGTATCTAATAGTGAATACAATTACAGAAAGCCAGACCTGGTAGCACAGCACTGTGAGCTCTGTGGGGGAGGCTGAGGCAGGACTTCGCCAAATTCAAGGTCATCCTGGGCTAGAGTGAGCTCAGGGCCAGCCTGGGCAACAAGTGAGACCCTGTCACCAATTTTAAAATAATAACCTAGAGAGAAGCTGGTGCTCTCAGAGTGTTTAATAAAGGAAAGCCAAGACCATGACTGAAATCCGGCCCTGGAACCAGCTTTGTTCTCAAGCAAAGACTTGGCAGCACCCACAAGCAAGAGGCGCCGGTAAGTGGGAGAGCAATCGGTGTAAAAGAACCGCAACTGGAAGCGCGCGGCAAGCAGAGGCGCTAGATGAGAGACAGGCGACCCGCGGACCTAGAAGAGGCCTGGCACAGCTCCATGCTCTCCCTGAGAGGGGCGCGGGACGAGGGGTATAAGAGAGGGTGTATGGGAGGATGGCGGCCCGAACAGAAGGGGCTGGAAGGCATCAAAGCCGAGGGGCTGCACCTGAGCACTCACCTCGGCTCCGCAGGTAGCCCGAACCGCCCGGGGAAGCGGGGAAGCCACTAGAAGCACTCCCCCCCGGAAGTGGGGACGAGAGGGTCCCTCTAGGAACCCCGGAGGACTACTATTCTGTGGCCGCCGTGCTCTTTGGGGAGTCTGCTAGGGAGGGGTGTACTGGGAAAAGAGTGACTGAATACATGATAAAATTGCAAAGAAATTTTACAGTGAACCAGATCTTGAGAGCTGAATCAAATCAGTGCATGGAAGGGAATATCAGGTTTTCAAGAAATGTTCAATATCCGTACTATCCAATATGGACAACATTGGCCACATGAAGCTACTGATGATTAAATTATGTGTACTTTCCCCTCAAGTTGGTCTGGCCGCAAAGGACTCCCTGCAGATGATTATTCTTTCCCAACTTTATTAAGATCATTGTTTAAAGACAAAGCTTTCCTGAGAGCCAAAAAAGGTGTAAATCAAAATACAGGTGTTGAGCCTGATAGAATACCTAAGTTATGCAGGTTCTGAAATACCCTTCAGAAACCAGCACTCACGTTCTTTCAGGACTCTATGGTGAACTACATACAGTCTTCTAACAAAGCTTGTCATTTCTATGCATGCATGGTTTATGTTTTCTTAAAAATCAAGATTACAGCAGGCAGTGGTGGTGCATGACTTTAATCCCAGGAGGCAGAGTTCGATGGATCTCGAGTTCGAGACCAGCCTGGTCTACAAAGTGAGTTCCAGGACAGCCAGGACTGTTACACAGAGAAACCATGTCTCTGTATAAATAGATTGGGGGGGGGGGACGACCATGATTACAAACATCAAAAAGAAGAATGTTCTGCTGTTTTCTCTGACCCCGGTTCTGTTGCCCAGTTCTGCTATTCACTGAGCTTTGTACAGTACATAATTCTGTGGTCATGACACAAGAGTCTGCATGCATCTCCTCGCTTCTCCATGAATCTTCAAGCGGAGAGGGCTCAGGCTTTTGAAGACCATTCTAGATCCTGTGTGTCTGTTGTAGCACAGTGTCTGATATAGTAATAGTCACTGAATAAATAAATTCACATAGTCCTAAAAAATTCCAATGTTATCAAGGCATTGTGGCACTTTAATCTCAGCACTTAGAAGGCAGAGGCAGGGGGATCTTTGTGAGTTCTGATTTATAATAGTGATTTCTAGAAGAGTCAAAGCTACATAATAGAGACTCTGTCTCAAAAATAAAACCCAGTAATAATTTTTTGTATGTTATTTTATTTTTTATTTTTTTATATTTTTATTTTTTTAAATTAATTTATTTATTAAAGATTTCTGCCTCCTCCCCGCCACCGCCTCCCATTTCCCTCCCCCTCCCCCAATCAAGTCCCCCTCCCTCATCAGCTCGAAGAACAATCAGGGTTCCCTGACCTGTGGGAAGTCCAAGGACTGCCCACCTCTATCCAGGTCTAGTATGGTGAGCATCCAAACTGCCTAGGCTCCCCCAAAGCCAGTAGGTGCAGTAGGATCAAAAACCCATTGCCATTGTTCTTGAGTTCTCAGTAGTCCTCATTGTCCGCTAAGAACCCAGTAATAATAATAGTAACCCAAGGCTTCATTCCATGACCATGAGTCTCAGCTTACACCTGTGGCTCCTAGCTTGGCTCTGCTTTCTCCCACTTTGCTCCTTTCTGCTTTGTCAATATCAAATTCCAGCATTAGACTCCTAGTCACATGAGCACTGCAGGACTACCTGGCCAGTTCCTATATTTGTGTAAGCCAACTTTCCTTAAGGTTATACATACAACACATACACACTACTACTATTGTGCTTCTACTGGCTGGACAATGATGCTATATCAATAAAGAAAGTCATTTCATGATGAAAAACAGGGTGGTGGGGAGTGCATACCTAAAATCTCATCACTCAGGAACCTAAGGCAGGAAGACAACCAGGAGTCCCAGGTCAGCCAGAGTTGTATAGCTAAACCCTATTTCAAAACAGCACCACCACACAAGAGGACTGCAAGATGCCTCCGTGGATAAAGCACTTGCTAATGACCTGAGTTCCTGTCCTGCAACTCAACGAAATGGGAAGGAAACAGCCAAGTAATGCAGTTTTTCCTCTGACCTCCATGTGCAAAGACACATACACACTAAATAAATAATGTCATTTTTATAGAGAGAAAATAAGAAGTGACATGTCTGAAATCTCAGCAACACAGTAGGCTCACGCAGAAGGATTGAAAATCCAAGGCCTATACTTTGGCTTCATAAGGGGGGTGGAGTGTAGTGGCTGGGCATATGTCAATAACCTAGTGTTATCTGAAAGAAAGGAAACTTAACAGAGAAAAATGCCTCCATAAGACAAGTTGTAGGGCATTTTCTTAATTAGTTATTGACAGGGGAGCACCCAGTCATTGTGGGTGGTTCCATAGGTTCTATAAGAACGACCCCTGGGCTGGTGGTCCTGGGTTCTATAAGAAAGCAGGTTGAGCAAGCCATGGACAGCAAGCCAGTAAGCAGAACCCTTCCATGACCTCTGCATCAGCTCCTGCCTCCAGGATCCTGCCCTGTTTGAGTTCCTGTCCTGACTTCCTTCAATAATGAACAGTTATATGAAGTTTAAGCCAATTAAACCCGTTCCTCCCCAACTTGCTTTTTGGTCATGGTGTTCTTTACAGCAATAGAAACTCTAACTGAAACAGGTGGGGTGGGGAGTGTGCAAAAGACAGCTGGGGATACAGTTCAGTAGTAGAATGTTTAACTAGCATGTTCAGTCCCATGTATGGATGGATGGCAGGGAGGAGGGTGGGAGGAAAACCGAGGAATAAACTTAGGAAAGGGATTAAGGGGGGGGGCGGGGCAGAGGCAGATGCAGAAGAGAAATGGATCACGAGAGTTATCCGGTCAGAAAAATACCTGACTTTATAAAGTTTTTATGAAAGATGATGGATCCTGACATTCACCTAAAGAATCACTAACCGCAGCAAAGGACAAGCCAGTGCCTTAGGCTAAAGCTGGGAGCTGCAGTTACGTACCGCAAGAACTAATTCACGCTGCTGTGCGGGAGTGAGGATGCACAACAGAGTTGTGATCCTCCCAGATTCCTAGAGCGGCCGGCTGAGGGAGCCTCCGAAACGCGGAGAGATTGTAGGGGTGGTTGACAGGCAGTCTCTCCACCACAGGAGAGTCAGAGGGGCGTCTTGGACACGGGGACCGAGCGGTTTCATGGCCTACTGTTCTGGATAGCTAGTCTGTGCTCACTGAGCCTTTATTCAACTGCATGAACGTCCGAAATGTTGGGGTGCTAGTGGAATCACGAAGTGGATGACCCCCCCACCCCCCGTAATCAGCCTGCGGAGCTGGAAAAGAGATAGCTGCCTTGTGAGTGTTGGACGCGAACACTAAACCCCTCCCTGCACTTCCAGTCACACCCCTTGTTTAGTATTTTTAATTTCCAGTCTTGTTTGAGCGCCGCATCTTGTAAGGGGAATTGAATTAAAGAGGGTTAATTCCTGCTTCCTGCACGATCGGAAAGGAAGCCTTCTCTAAGAGGAAAGGCTCCTGGAAGCTAAATAAGATTTTTCTCCTTCTCTTTGTTCCGTATCTAGAAGCCCTAGTCTCAGAAATGACATCTCCTCTGTACAGTGGTTCTAATCTGAACTCAGGGCTACCACATCGTCTGCAGGCTTCAGTCACTTGTGTGGACAAGAAGATCTTACAGAAGAAATGGTAATTCTCCACTCGTTTCCTGAGGTGTCCGGTTGTGCCTATGGAGATCCAGTTCAGCTGTGACTCTCAAGAGCGTCACCCTCTGTGAGGTGAGGAGCGGTGCGTTGCATGTTCCTTCCGTGGTACCAGTGGTCTCCATTGTCTACACCCTCTCTGGCAAGCCGTACCATGTCTTTTGTGCTCCAAGCCAAGTCATACGGCTTTGTTTTGAATTCTAGAGATACAGCTTTTATTCAGTCGCCTCTTCTTTTTAAAAATAGATTTTTATTAACTCTTTCACAATGTCATGCGTGTAAACAATGCATTTTGATCACATTCACCCCCACTCCCCCTACCAGTTACCCAGAGACCCTTCCCCCTTCATGTCGTGCCCCCCCCCCCCAAGCTGCCTGGAGGAATGTTGAGATACCTTACTGTCTTGATCTTGTACAGATAATCATAACTGCAATGCATTCAGTGTCGTGTCTGAAAATTAGCGGTCCACAGAATCCCTCCCCATCTTCAGCTCATCCAGCCTTTCTGCGCTCTCTTCTGGGGTTGTCTCCTGTTTCTAGGGAGAAGGCCGGTTACAATAGATGTCCCATTTAGGACTTAGCACTTACTAGTCACTGTGCTCAGTACTTTGACCAGCTATCAGTCTCTGCATTGACTGCTGACCACTACAGAGAGAAAGAAGCTTCTCTGGCCAAGGTTGAGGGCAGCACTAACCTAGGTATAGAAACTTCAATATTTAGAAGGCCGTTTGACAGCCTTTCCATTTAGCAAGGCACCAGCAGTGAGTTCCCCACCAGGACCTGTGGCTTTTAACCAGATTTACAGTGCTGGGAATGATCAGGTTCAAATGCAATCCAAAAGCAGTTATTACTCCGTGTGGTGATTTGACGAAGAATGGCTCTGATGGGTTCATATATTTCAATGCTTCTCACTACTTGAGAAGGATCGGGAGGTATGGTCTTGTTGGAGAACATGTGTCACTGGGCGTGGGCTTTGATGTTTCAAAAGCCTAAGCCAGTGTTTCTCTCCCCCTGCTCCCTGTGAATCTGTATGTAGAACTCTCAGCTACTCCTCCAGCACCATGTCTGCCGTGATGATAGTGGACTAACCCTCTGAAACTGTAAGCAAGCCCCAGTTAAATGCTTTCCTCTATAATTGTTGTCACGGTCATGGAGTCTGTAGCATTAGAACAGTGACTAAGACACCCCCATAACCTTTGTGCCGTTATCGGACACGCAGGCACATCTTGCCTGCTAGTCGGGGTCTTAATTTCCTATTGCTGTGCTAAGGTGACATGAACAAGGCAATATAGAGAAGAGTTTGTTGGGGGCTCACTTACAATTTCAGAGAGTAAACGTCCATGACCATCATGTCAGAGTATGGCAGCCGGCAGGCGGAGAGAGCTAACTGGGAATGGCATGGGCTTTGAAAACTTCAAAGAAGCCCACCCCCAGTGACATACATTCTCCAAAAAGCCATACCTCCTAATCATCCTCAAACAATTCCACCAATGGGGGACCAAGCTTTCAAAACTGTGCGCCTGTAGGCGCCATTCTCATTAGACCACCACCGGCAGAATTATAGCCTGCAGTGTTGCAGCGGGCATTGATGGGTTTCCTCTGCCCGTGGCCCATAGCACTTCCACACCCTATGAAATCTGGCCTGCAGAAAGAATATTTTCAGGTCAGCTCCAGCTTGATTTCTCTGTGTTCTGCAGTCGGAATGTGTTGTGTTTAATAGAGTCATACCATTGGGTTCTGGTGAGCAGCCAGGAGCAACGGCAATGGCCTGTGTTGTTTTAGGGCCCGACACTAATTCAGGAGGATTTTCATTTCCTAACCCACATCTGCTTGGGGAAACACTGTCCACCGTGCTTGTGTTCAGGATCATGGGGTATTGCTGGGACGGACCTCACCATGTTTTGGGGAGGGTTGTGTAAAGAAAAACCATTCGGTGTTCAGTGCTTGGTGAGCTATTTTGTAGGGTCTTGGAAGATAAGAATGTTGAGGGCAGATGGAGGCCTGGCTTGTGTAGTTTCACAGGGAAGTATAAGGACTCTGTCACCGCCATTTGCCGCTTTGAATTAAGATTCTGTCATTCTGAGCAGCTGGGGCTGAAGAGTCAGCCATAAAGCTGGATGGCAGTGGTGCAGGCCCTTAATCCCAGCCCTCGGGAGGCAACAGCAGGTGGATCTCTGAATCTGAGGTTATCCTGGTCTACAGGGCAAGTTTCAGGAAACCCAGAGCTGTTACACAAAGAAGCCCTGTTTCAGAAAACCAAGAGAAAGAGAAGGAGAGAGTCACCATGTTAAAAGACTGGCACCTCTGAAGTGAACCTGTCGTTAGGGTTTCTTTCTTTCTTTTTTTAAAAATGTGTTTATTTATTATGCATACAGTATTCTGCCTGCATGTATGTCTTCACGCCAGAAGAGGGTAAAAGATCTTATCACAGATGGCTGTGAGCTACCATGTGGTTGCTGGGAATTGAACTCAGGACCTCTGGAAGAGTAGCTAGTGCTCTTAACCACTGAGCCATCTCTCCAGCCCTGTCGTTATTGGGTTTCTATTGCTGTGACGAGACACCATCACCATGGCAATTCTTATAAAGGAAATGTTTGATTTTGGTGGCTGGCTTACAGTTTAGAGGTTCAGTCCATTATCATCATGGCGGGGAGTATGTCAGCATGCAGGCAGGTATGGTTCTGGAGCTGAGAGTCCTACATCTTGATCAAAAGGCAACAGGAACTGGTCTCCAACAGTGGGTGGTATCTTGAGCATAGGAAACCTCAAAGCCTGTCCCCACAGTGACACACTTCCTCCAGCAAGGTCATCCCTGTTCCAACAAAGCCACACCTCCCAATAGTGCCACTCCCTAGGAGCTTATGGGACCAATTACATTCAAACCACCTCAGAAACCTTTGCTTTGTTGGGACAATTGATGTTGGTTAGCTGGAGCTAAGAAATTGATGGTGATTAAGAAAAGACTAGCATCATTGAGATGAAATCTCCTGGAAAGTGTTTCCTCAGGGTCAGCCCACAGAGGCTGTGTTTCAGAAGCAGTCAAAGCTGTGCCATGTGCTGGCGGCTGGACTTGGGGATCTCAGAGTCACCCAGGAGGTTCTGGTTTTGAAGGCATGAAGAGCAGCTGAGGCTTGGCACTGGGAGAGGTCAGGAGAGGCCATTGGTGCAGGTGCACACCTCAGTATCAGTTGAAGCAGTTGAAGGCTCGGAATTGAAGGGGTCATGCAGAGAAGTTGAGGCTTCACAAAGAGAGCCTGAGAGGCTGTTGGTGAGCGCCCAGCCCAGTTGCAGCAGAAAAATAACCACCAAGAGGAGCAGCGAGAGTGGAGTGGAGCCGGGACACAGCACTCCACCCCCACAGCCTCTGCATCAGCTCCTGCCTCCAGTTCCTGCCCTCACTACTTTTGATGCTGGCTGTTTTATGGAAGTGTGAGTGAAATAAACCCTTTCCTCCGCGAGTTGGTGTTTCCTCAAAGCCAAGGTAACCCTAGCTAAGACAAGTGGATGCTATTTGTATCAGAATAAATTCAGTAGTTCGTTTTTCCCATGGCCGTGACAAAGTACCCTGACAAAGGCGACTTAAGGGAGAATGGACTTATCCCAGCTCACAGCTCAGCAGTGCAGCCCACCGTGGTGAAAATCTCACCAACAGGAACCCGAGGCATTGGTCACATCAGTGTGCCACCCAGAAGCAGAGAAGGTGAATACTCATCTTCAGGTCCCTTGATGCTTCTTAGATACTGATTAATCAGGGTGATCCCCTACATGTGGTGATCCCCTACATGTGGTGACGTAATGCTATTAAAATCTCTAATTAAACATTCTAAGTGATTAGAACTTTTGCGAGACCTCACAGCAGAGTTAATGAGTGACCTCACACCTTGAGGTCACTTGAGACTACTATTGTACTGTGTATTCAGCCTGTCCAACCTGTCTTTTTTTTTTTTTTTTTTTTTTTTTGGTTTTTCGAGGCAGGGTTTCTCTGTAGCTTTGGTGCCCGTCCCGGAACTAGCTCTTGTAGACCAGGCTGGCCTCGAACTCCCAGAGATCCGCCTGCCTTTGCCTCCCGAGTGCTGGGATTAAAGGCGTGCGCCACCATCGCCCGGCTGTCCAACCTGTCTTTAAGAGAACACTATAACAACCAACTTTACTTGTCATGGATTTCCCGTGTTATCAACTTTTACAATTAGGTTAATGCATAGCTGTAATCTTAAATCCTTAATTATAGCTCAGAGTTCTTTATCTAGTTCATATTATAAACTCATTTTCTTACATTATTTAAGTCTTGGGCAGGGCTTTTATCCTACAGGCTCTTCAGAGTGCCATTGTGTGGGACTCAAATTAAACTTGAGAGAAGAGGTACTCCCAAAGAATTCTTTAGAGTCCTTGCTTATGGCATAGAGCAGCAACATATTCTGCTTCTGAAACACAACAACATATTCCTTGGAATTGTGACCAGTCATTATGACCAGTGTCTATAGTATGAAGAGCCTGAAATGACCAAGAGGCAAATTTACTGGCAATCTTGACCGTGTTCCATAGTAGAAGCATCTCTCCGTTGAGCGCTATAACTTCAAACTTACCAGGCCCAGGATTGGGGATAGGAAGCAAAAATAGCCTAAGTGGATGGTCAGGTGTATAATGGGGGACAGTGAGATGGCTTGGCAGTAAATGGTTAAGGTATTTACTGAGTTCAATCCCCAGGACCCACATGTGTGGAAGAAGAGAACTGGCTCCCATAAATTGTTCTCTGGCCTCCATAATCATAAAATACACCATTGCACACACACACATGCACGTGCACATGTGTGTGTGTGCGTGCGCGCGTGCTCTCTCATGCGTGCGTGTGTGTGTGTGTGTGTGTGTGTGTGTGTAATATATTTCTCATATAGAGGAGGAATTATTCTCATGACTCCTGTGCTGGCTAGTTCAACTTGACACAAGCTAAAGTCATCTGAGAGGAAGGAACCTCAGTTGAGAAAATGCATCCATAAGACTGAGCTGTAAGTAGGCCCGTAGGCCATTTTCTTAATTAGTGATTGATGGGGGAGGGCCCAGCTCATTGTGGGTAGTGCCACTCCTGGGCTGGTACTCCTTGCTGCTGTAAGAAAGCAGGCTGAGCAAGTCATGATGAGCAAGCCAGCAAGTAGCAGCCCTCCATAGCCTTGACATCAGCTCCTCCTCCAGGTTCCTGCCCTGTGTGAGGTCCTGCATTAGCTTTCCTCAATGGACTGTGTCTCTGGATCTGTAAGCCAAATAAAACCTTTTTTCCCGGGGGCTGGAGAGATGGCTCAGTGGTTAAGAGCATTGCCTGCTCTTCCAAAGGTCCTGAGTTCAATTCCCGGCAACCACATGGTGGCTCACAACCATCTGTAATGAGGTCTGGTTCCCTCTTCTGGCCTGCAGACATACACACAGACAGACGATTGTATACATAATAAATAAATAAATAAATAAATAAATAAATATAAAAAAAAAACAAACCTTTTTTCCCCAGTTGCTTTTGGTCATGGTGTTTCATCACAGCAATAATAACCCTAACTAAAACAGCTCCTCCAACTCTCAGTTCCTGTAATGCATATGTGTTTGACCATTTAAAAAAAATAGACAGCTTTTGTTTTTTGTTCTTTGGCATAGGGCACATAGTATGTCCTCTATGAGAACTTTCCTAGTGTAGCCTTTAGAACATTCCCTCATCATCCCAAGTCTGCATCCTTCTCAGTGGAACATACATAAGACCCATGAGCTCCAGGTATTTGAGGTTACTGCTCTACTTCCTTTCTTAGATTACTTTTTTCGAGATTGTATTATATAGGCTAGCATGATAACAAACAGAATTACCATAAATAAATACAGCTCTGTATCTGCAGTGTGAAAACAAATTTCATGACAAAACTGGTCCTGTACAATGAATCTGCCTCCAGGAACCTGACTGATTGCACTGTTCACTCTGGTTGTTGAATATTCAGGCATACGGAATTGATAATAGGCATGCCCCCTTGGAGAGAGGAGATCCCTATGTTTGTAGCTATGTATAGCCGTCATCCTTGCTGTTGTGACCATTCTATACATCAGTCAGCCATGTCAGCTGGAATAGAGGCTGATTGACGTAGTTCTGTGGATGTTCTTGTCTTTCAGGTTGAGAGGCTTGTTTGCTGGTTACCTTTTGCTGAAAATGTACAAAGAACACAATATATGTGCATACTGAGCCCATTCCGGAAGGTCTATCCCAATGTTTCTCCCAGGGTTCTACTTTCTTTCTAGCATTCCAATCTTGTTCTTTCCATGTATTTGATAAGTAATTTGTCATTAGCCATGAGTCAATCTAGGCTTATATCCTAGACTATTTCCTTTCATAAATAGTAGACAGACGGTAGTTTTATTTCTAAAGTTCTGCCTGTGGGAGAATTTGCTTTGACCAGTGTCTGAGACCATCCCAAGCGGGAAGATGAGTGAACGTTTTCAGACCCTTCTGTAAACCTGTTCTGAAATCATCTAGTACATAATAATAAGTTTGTAATATGTAGCCATTTAGTATTCTGTAATCAAGAAGTCCTCATTGGTGCCTATAAAGTCAAGTTTCACTCAAGAGTGTTGTGAAGAGAGGGGGCGGGCCCTTTGTTTGTCCTGGCCCCCTGGCTAGCTTACACCTGAAATAATCACACAGAAACTGTATTAATTAAAACACTGCTTGGCCATTAGCTCTAACTTCTTATTGGCTAACTCTTACATATTAGTTTAACCCATCTCCATTAATCTATGTTTTGCCACGTGCCATGGCTTACTGGCAAGATTCCAACCAGCGACCATCTCAGCCAGAAGATCCATGGTGTCTCCCACTCTGTCCTTCTTCCCAGCATTCAGTTCTGTCTTCTCTGCCTACTTAGGTTCTGCCCTATAAGGCCCAAAGCAGTTTCTTAATTCATTAACCAATAAAAGCCACACATGAACAGAAGAACCTCCTACACCACAAAAGTAGCAACCCAGCTAGGTATGGTAGCATGCACCTGTAATCCCAGCACTGGTGAGCCAGAGGCAGGAGGACTACCCTGAGTCCAAAGCCATCTTAAGCTACAAAGTGACTTCAAAGCCATCCAAAGGCTACACTACAAACAAAAATAAAGGAGGTGGGGTAGCTAGCATCTGTCTTCTCAGCACTCAAGAGTTGAGACAGAAGGATTACCATGAGTTGCAGGCCAAACTGGGCTACAGCGTATCTCAAACAAAAGCAAAACTAGCAAACATGTAATTTCTTTGGTCATTTTGGGGGACAGTGAGATGACTCAGAGGCTGAAAGCACTTAGCACTTAGCACCCAGCCTGCCAACCTAAGTGTGAGCCCCAGGACCCACACGATAGAAGGAGAGAACCAGCTACCTTCCACAATTTATCCTTTAATCCCAGCACTCTGGGGGTGGAGACAGGAGTGATATGGCTGGGCAGAGAGAGGAACATAAAGGGAAAGGACAAGAACTCAGTGGTGTGGAATCTGAGGATTCGTGGAGACAGGATCCCGCCATTGTGGTCTGAAGATTTGGTAGAGGTAAAAGGTCTCTGTAGTGGTCGGATGTTTGCTTTTCTGATCTTCATGTTGAACCCCAGTATCTGTCCCTGGGTTTTTATTATTCATGCTACACATGGTATAAAGAACCACACAAAAGCATACATAGTTTTTAAGTGTACTGGCACACACAATTAAAAAATGAAATCAGTCTTTACATCAAAATTGATTCCTTGTTACTCTCACTAAGGCATGCAGATTGAAAAAATAGAAAGAACTTTACCATCTTACTACTCTGGCCCTCTTGTTTGTGATGCCAAATGTAGCTCCAGCTGGAGATCATAATAAAAAAAATACCAGAGTTATTTTGCAATAGATGTTGTTGTATGAAAATTCAATTTTAAACCGCTGTCTTGAACTGATCCTGCTTGTGACTTTTTGTAGAAAGTATTTAGAATACAGTGCATTTCTGTGTGTGATAACTTTTTTTTACTGTTTCTTAAGGGTAGATGCAAAGGAATTGAACAGTTTTTATTTCTCTCTTATTATTTTTCTTTAGTACCTTACTTTTAGCCTAGATACCTGAGCATGCTAGGTAAAACCCAACCCACTTCTGTTTCCTATGCTTTTTATACTGCTTGCTTTAAGTATATTAGCAAGTTATTAGCTCTCACCTAATCACACTTTTATTATCATAGTGAATCAATTTCAGTTTTCCCAGGTCATCTGTGAAAATCATACTTTTGTATCTGTTAAGTCCATTCCACAAAATGGGATCCATTATTACTTATTGATTCTTCCAGTTTTCCTCAGTCTTCTTCAGTGTGGGAAGCCTCTCAGCTCATTTGCAGTCCCCCACCTTAACCGCGAGGATCACCTTGTACCACATCCTCCCCTCTCCTGGTAACATCTATAGACAAACACTGATTTGCTGCATCTGGAACTTATCTACAACATGGAGCACATTTTCCATTGGGATTTTGTTTACTTTTCCAGATGGTGAGACCAAGATCAAGATTGGAGAGCCAGCTTCAGAGGAGGAAAATGACAGGAAACACTGAAGAACCTGGCAGCCTCAAGGAGGATGTTCTCCCGAATTCCAGAGGCAAAGAATTCCGTGAATTGGGGGACGAATTGAATGAAAAGCCCCGCTTAAGAAGAAGACAGTATACCTGTGATGAATGTGGCCAGCACTTTGCTTGGAAAACGGGTCTCGTTAGACACCAAAAAACTCACTGGGACAGACCACACGAATGCGATGAATGTGGAAAGGGCTTTCGTTCGCGCTCAGCCCTGGCTCTACATCAGAGAATTCATACTGGAGAGAAACCCTATCCATGCAATTGGTGTATTAAAAGCTTTAGTCGGAGTTCAGACCTTGTCAAACATCAAAGAGTCCACACTGGGGAAAAGCCTTACAAATGTAAGGAGTGTGGGAAGGCCTTCAGCCAGAGCTCGGATCTCATCATACACCAGAGAATCCACACAGGAGAAAAACCCTACCCGTGCGGTCATTGTAGCAAAAGCTTTAGCCAGCACTCAGACATGGTCAAACATCAGAGGATCCACACTGGAGAGAAGCCTTATATGTGTAGCCAGTGTTATAAACATTTCAGCCAGAGCTCTGATCTTATAAAACATCAGCGAACCCACACTGGGGAGAAACCATATAAGTGTAAAGCTTGTAAGAAGGCCTTTAGTCAGAGCTCCGATCTTATTCTCCATCAGCGAATCCACTCTGGGGAGAAACCATATTCATGTAATCAGTGTAGCAAAAGTTTCAGCCAGAACTCAGACCTTATTAAACACAGAAGGATTCACACTGGAGAGAAGCCATATAAATGTAACGAATGTGGAAAGGCTTTTAATCAGAGCTCGGTCCTTATTCTGCATCAGAGAATTCATACCGGAGAGAAACCCTACCTATGTAACCAGTGTACCAAAACCTTCAGTAGGTTTTCAGATCTCCTTAACCATCAGCGAATTCACACTGGAGAGAAGCCGTACCCGTGTGGTCAGTGCAGTAAAACGTTCAGTAGGAGGTCGGATCTTATTAAACATCATAGAGTCCACACTGGGGAGAAGCCCTATGAATGTAAGTGTGGGAAGGCCTTCAGTCAGAGCTCCAACCTTGTTCTCCACCAGAGAATCCACACCGGGGAAAAACCCTATCCCTGCAGTGACTGTGCCAAGAGTTTCAGTCGCCGTTCAGACCTCGTAAAGCATCAAAGAACACATACTGGCGAGAAACCGTATACATGCGATCTGTGCGATAAAAGCTTCAGTCAAAGCACAGACCTCACGAAACATCGGAGAATGCATTCGGGTGAAAAGTCCTACCACTGTGATAGTTGCGGCAAAGCCTTTAGTCAGAGTTCTGACCTCATCCTTCACCGTAGAATATACACAAGAAAAAAACCCTCTGAGTGCTCGCTGTGCACCCGATGTTTCCGTCAGAATTCAGGCCGTATCAAACACCGGAGAAGCCACACTGAAGAGAAACCCTACCCATGTGCTAAGTGCGGCAGAAGCTTTAGTAGGAGCGTTGATCTCTTTAACCATCAGAGAATACACGTTGGGGAAAAACCGCAAAAATAATACTCGTGGGAAATTGCTGGGAATGACCCTTCTGTACACTGAGTATGTGTACTCTCAAGACAGGCCGGTAGCCAGACCGGAAGTTAGGCGGGAAAGCCAACCAGAATGATGGGAAGAGCGGGGGTGGAGTCAGGCAGACGTCCTAGCTGCCTAGGAAGTAAGACATGCTAGAGGACAGGTAAAGCCGTGAGCGATGTGGCAATACATAGATTAATAGTAATGGGTTAATTTAAGTGTAAGAGCTAGTAGCAAGCCTGAGCTTTCGGCCAAGCATTTATAATTCATATTCAGCCTCTGAGTCGGTTATTTAGGACCCAGGAGTTGGGACAGGAAACATCTGTTTACAGGAAACCTTTCGGAACTGTGACCAGTCTCACTGAATATCAAAGGATGCACATAGAAGGGAAACCACCCTCAGTTCGGGTTAGCAGACGTTTTAACAAACCTGATCATGGTAACTTTAAGAAAACCCATTCTAGCCAGGTGGTGATGGCGCATGCCTTTAACTTCAGCCTTCAGGAGGCAAAGGCAGGCAGATCTACATAGCGAACTTCAGGACAGCAAGGGCTACACAGAGAAACCCTGCCTTGGATGGAAAAAGAAGAAGTAGGAAGGAAGAAAAAGAAGGGAGGAAGGAAGAAAAAGATTCTTCCTGAGGAGGAAGAATTGCATGAATGTGACAGCTATGGGAAAGTCTGGTGCACAGATTATGATCCCACACGTGAAAAAGGTTTTAATCAATGTCCAGCCCATGCTCCATTTAAAAAATAGAAATTCTTACCCTTTATATAATCTAAGAAAATCTCTTACAATTCACAGCAATATCATTATAAAATATAAGACATTAATGTGGAACTCACCATATTTAAAACTAAATGTGGAAAGTCTCAATCAAAATTATGAGGAAAATATATTCATCTTAGAATATCAAACATATATATATATATATATATATATATATATATATTGATTTTTCGAGACAGGGTTTCTCCGTAGCTTTTGGTTCCTGTCCTGGAGCTAACTCTTGTAGACCAGGCTGGCCTCGAACTCACAGCGATCCGCCTGCCTCTGCCTCCCGAGTGCTGGGATTAAAGGCGAACGCCACCACCACCGCCCGGCTAACTCAAACCTTTATTGAGTCTAAATTACCAAGTGCATATCAGAAATTACTTCAGAGAATGCAAGGAAACCTTAAATCCTGTGATTAAAGTGTTATTAATGCTGACGTCACACATATCCTCTAGAGATGGAGAGTTGGGTCCTATGAGTATAAACTGAGTATAAATTCCATGCCACTTTGTCTCCGTGATTTGTTGGTATTGGTCTAGTTTTGGTTTCCTCGTGAGCATGAATCCCTATGGTACACAGAGCAAGGCTAGTTTAATTTTCAATAATGCAGACCGATATTGAACAAAATGGAGCTGTGGTATTGTGGTCCTGTAAATACTGTAGTTCCATGATATCCATGGGGGCTATGCCCATAAGGCATAGAACTTCACCAGTCAGCTGACAGTCTTGCTAAGTCCAGATAGACTGTGAATAGGAAAAGTACATGACCCTTTGTATTAGTGATAGAGGTTCTCAGTTCCTAACTAACAGTTCCAAACTTTGTGTGCCAGTGACTCAAGTCCTACCTAGTGTTAGTGTCTTTGCTGCTCTTCTTCCAGCCAGAACCATCAGCTACCAGAAGTTCTTGCAATTTTTCCGAGAGATGGAGCTAGCTGGTCCCAGCACTGGTTACCAGCCATTCTCAGTGGTAACAGTTCTAAGGAAACCAGCCAGTGTATACTCCCCTGAAATCATAAATATGCAAAACCATCCTGAAGAGATGCTATTGGTACTGGTGCTGCAGCAATGCATGGGCTGACAAGATGGAATGAGAGAAGGGCAGATTATAGAGGCAAAAGAAATAGACACATGTGTGTTTGTGGTGTCCTGCTGATGAACTGCAGACTTTATGCAACTTTAGGTTGTGAGCAGGAGAAGGGTCTGGTGTGGGACAATTGTATTCTGTCAATTATGTTTTAAATAAACACTGATTGGCCAGTAGCCAGGCAGGCAGTATAGGTGGGACAACCAGACAGGAAGTAGAGGCGGGTCAAAGAGAACAGGAGAATTCTGGGAAGGAGAAAACCCATTCCTCCCGAGTTCTGTGCAGACACTGAAGAAGCAGGATGTGACCTGCCCCGTTGAAAAAGGTACCGAGCCATGTGGCTAACATAGATAAGAATAATGGGCTAATATAAGTAATAAGAGCTAATAAGAAGCCTGAGCTAATGGGCCAATCAGTTTATATCTATGTAGACTCTGTGTGATTTTCTTTGGTACCTAAAGACTGTGGGAACCGAGCAGGACAGAAATCCCAACAAGCAGGCCCTCATGTTACAAGGGTCCTTTATGGTTATGGAGACAATTGAAGCATCAGCTGGTACCAACCAGCTACATAGCTAGAGTGTGTAGTCCCTCGCTGTGGTTGCTGTGCACTTTGGAAGATTTGACCCTCTGTATCACGTAAACAGTACTGCATTCTTAACACCATTTCCTGATTTAAGCACTCACTGTGCACCAAGTCTACAACTTGCATTTTGAGATGTTAGACTAATAATAAAATTTCCCTTCACAATTTCACAAGATTCATTCTTACTGGAACATCGTCAGGTCTTTTTTCTTCCCTTAAATGAAAACCTTCCACTTTTTCACTTACAGCTGATAAAACTGTCTTCTCTTCAGCTTCTCTAATTGCCAGCACCACTTCATCCTGGGGCCATCGTTCAGTGAAGTAAGGATTACTTGAACTTAAGCAATGAGAGTATGGAGACGGAATCTGATGGCCCAGATGGCTACCAGTGACTAATGGAGAAAATAATACATGGGAAATTGGCATCCTAGACAAGGCAGTGATTCACATTCTGGAGGGTGTGCAAAGGGGTTCAGGGTTTCACTTCTGAATGCACTGAGAGACTATGGGAGGTTCCAGGCAAAGGAGCAACATGATGGCGAGGACTAATGTGGAAAACAAAGACCATTTAGTTTCTTAAATGCTTCTTTATAGTCTGAGGGCTTTTGTTATTTGAAACAGGGTGTATGCAGAGCAAGCTGGCTTGAAACTCAAAAGATGTGCTGGGATTAAAGGCATCCACCAGCACCACATTTTTATGTATTATCTTATGTAGGATATACAGTAGAAAATATATAAAAATAAAAAACTACCTCAAACTTGAGTCCACAAGTAGTATGCTAGCACTATAGACTTCATCTGCATGATGCCACATGTGTGTGTGTGTGTGTGTGTGTGTACATACACACACACACATATTTATAGTCTTAGAATTTTATTGATCTGGAGAGATACCATGACCACACCAACTCTTATAAAGGAAAAGAGAAAAAATATTTAATTGGGGTGGCTTACAGTTTCAGAAGTTTAGTCCATTATTATGGCAGCATGCAGGCAGACATGGTGCTGGAGAAGGAGCCAAGAGTTCTATAACTTGATCCACAGGCAACAGGAAGAAGACTGAACTGTTGCATTGGGTGTAGCTTGAGCATTGAAGACCTCACCCCCCCCACACACACAGTGACACACTGTAGTAGGAGCCATGGGCTGCGTTCCTGCCACCCGGCTCCTGGCCGCCAGCTAGCTTATGCCCCAAAATAACAACACACAAACTGTATTCGTATAAACACTGCTTGGCCCATTTCTATTCATATATGTAGCATCACGAGGTGTACTTACCGGGAAGATTCTAGCCTATGTCCATCCTGGGTCAGAGCTTCATCGCGTCTGCCCCAGAGAGGAGAGGAAATGGTGTCTGTGCTCACTTCCTCTTTCTCCCAGCATTCTGTTCTGTTTACTCTGCCTACCTAATTTTCTGTCCTATCAGGGCCAAGGCAGTTTCTTTATTTAACCAATGACCTTCCTCCATCATTACACTTCCTCCAAGGTCATACATTCTAATAGTGCCACTCTTTATGAAGGCCTTTTCTTTCAAACCACTACATACAGTGTGTAAAACACACACACACACACATATATCTTAGGGTTCTATTGCTGTGATAAAACACCACGACCAAAAGCAACTTGGGAGTAAACAGTCTACTTCATTTAGACTTTCACATCATAGTTCATCATGGAAAGAACTCAAGCTGGGCAGGAACCCGGAGGCAGGACTGCTGCAGAGACCATGGAGGAGTGCTTACTGGTGCTCAGTGCTTACTCAGACCACATTCTTACATCATCCAGGACCACCTGATGAGGGGTGACACCACCCACAATGAGCTGGGCTCTTCCACATTAATCAAGAAAATGTCCTATAAACTTGCATAAGATTCTTTCCGTCATACTAGGTATTGGGCTCACAATGGATCTAAAATAGAGTGCCCTTCTCCCAAAAACCCATGCTGGGTTAAGGTAATTGTGCAGGGCTCCCAGGACCACAGGCAGTAAGTGTGAAGGCAGTGCCCTGAGCCATGTTTGCTAGGTACAGCAGTGTGCTGGCCGTCAATGTGACACAAGCTAGTGCCCCCACCTTGCTGGCCCGTGGCGCATGTGGTGCATGTTCTGGATTGATGAGAAATGGGGAGGGCCCAGTTCACTGCAGGTTGTGTCACCCCTAGGCTGGTGGCCCTGGTTGCTGTAAGAAAGCAGGTTCAAGACGCTATTAGGCACAAGCCAAACCAGCATTCCTCCATGGCCTCTACATCAGTTCTTCAAGTTTCTGTCTGGAGTTCCTGCCCTGACTGAACTCAGAGACAGAAGTCAAGTCTGGGCAGGAACTCAAGTAACCTGAGAGTTGTAAGATGAAGTAAACTCTTTCCTCCCCCAGCTGCTTTCGGTCATGGTGTCTATCACAGCAATAGACACCTAGCAGATTCAGCAGTTTAACATACCTGGACCCAATTAATCTGTTGGAGACAATGTATGAAAAGTTGTTCAGACTTAATGAAAGCCACTGTTAGAATGTCAAGTATGGGAATGGTGTGTGAATCGGGGAGGGGAGAGGGTAAAGTAACACATGGCAGAGGCTGACAGAGTCCAAATTATATAAGGCCATTGCTAATTTTATTAACTTATATAATGTGTGAATCTAGAATTAAAACTACAAGTTTTCTACAAATCAACAAGAAAATACAAATACCCTATATTAATCAGGACAAATACAATTATCTTAAACAAGAAAGGGACTTTATTGGCTCACAAACTTTAAAGTCCAGAGGTAGGGCAGGCTTTAGGCACAACTGGATCTAGGGCCTCCAGAAAAATGACATCAAAACTTAGTTTTTCACCATCTCTGCTAGCCTCTGAGTTTCTCCTCAGAGACTTTCTCCACATAGGAAAAGTGCAGGCTCCTGTCGTCCTTGGGTCTCCAGTGTCTCCAAAACCTTCTTTCCAGGATTTGCTGTTCTCTTGAGCACTCTCCTTAGCCTGCTTCAGATTGATGCCCGCTGTTTAATCACTGTGGCTAGTGTGACTCGGGAGACGAGCCTGGTCATGTGCTCACCAAAGCCATATGGAATGGGTTAACCACAAGAAATAGGGATACTGTTGTCATAAATGAGGAAAGAGATGCTGAACAAACACAGATACCCACATAACCCAGTACAAAGGCAATAGAAGCATGAATGAACAATCCTCCGGAAATTATAAATGACCAACTTCACTATTCGTCAGGGAAATGCAAATAGGTTTCTTCTCTCTCCTTTTCCCAAACAGATAAGGGCTGTCCAGTGTGGGTAAGGCGGCTCTGTGGGCAATGAGTACTCTACAGAGGTGAAGACTCTACAGCTATCTGTCAGAAGATGGAGGAGAGTGTCAGGCAACAAGTGCCTTACAGC